AATCACAAAACCCCGTCTCCAAGGAAACAAAACAAAAAAAGAAGATCGTCGAGGTCACCGTACGACAAATCGGAAGGAACAAAGAAGGATTCAAGTATGTGTTCGAATTGTGGCTGTCACCTCAAGAATAAGAAACCCGGGAAGACGCCAAGCGCTAGCATTAATAAAAATGAAAGCAAGTCGTACAGTAGACACGATTGCCATGGCATCATTGGCGACCATCCACACCAAAGTCCAGAACACAATTATGTTGAAGATTATAGTTTTACCCACGACAGCGGTTCCCCTGAAATTCGCAATTCACCGAGGGATTTGTTAAGAATTTCACCAGCAATAGTATATCGTTCAGAAGTTAAAATAAAGCTGAAAAATGAACCGGAAGATTTTAGCAACGAACGGTACAATCACGGACAAAAACAAATGTGGCAAAGTTTACAAGAAAGAAACCTTGAGGGCGCTCTTGCATACGATAACGCGAATTTCGAGGCTGACGTGGACGACGTGTTCAGCAGCGAAGAAACAAATACTGATATGCAAACCGAGCTGAAAATATTGAATAAATACCCACCTCAAATCAAAACCAGGCGAGCACACAGCAAACCAGGGAGTACTCACGAAAGAACAATTTGTAAACCAGGGGGTACTCACGAAAGAAAAAATAGTAAACTAGAGGGTACTCATGATAACGATAAAAAAGGTTACGATATACCTCGTCAAAGAAGGCCGGTAGTATTGAATATGATAATGAATACTGGGGTATCTGAAGTTTAGAAGAACACTTTTTCAGGCATCAGAGCAATTCACAATTACAAGTTTCAGTAAAATAATATCTTCTTATCGCCGTGCGTTTGTGTAGAACAATGTGCCTTTCCTAAATGTGCTTTCTTTACCTGTATCAGGTGACAGACATTACAATCATTCTTCTAATGCTAGCGCCCTCTATCGATTACAGGCACACTGTATTTAGCATGGCCAGGTATATTCATGTTGTTCCCTGTGTCAATACCGGTCTGTGTAGAAACACTGCATATCCTTTCACGATTTTTTGAATAACTGATATTTGTAATATATCATAGGACATTACAGTGAATGTACTTAATTGTATTTTTGAGGACTGCGTTGATTTCACAGGTGTCCAGCTATTACGACTCAGCCGTGCAACCAAACTGTTTTGAGATAAATTGAATCTTGACACACATGGGTTTAACATCACTGCCAACTTCTTCTGACATACTGATTATATAGATGAACATTATTATTCTTTTTTAATTTTTTGTTGGTATTAAAAATTGTAAATAAAATTTCTTATTATTTTGATACATTTATTCAGGTTCATGAACGTTTTCATTATTTTCTATCAGTTGGTCGATGCTATGACGTCATTCGTATAAGTTACAACACAGGGAATATATTGTGGTTTGAGTTAGTATAAGAATATTGCTATAAGACATATCGGAGGTCGACACGCTTTTTCTAAATTTAACGTTATAATATGCTCTAGTATCCAAATAACTTATGTTGTAACCTATGTAGGAGAGATGGAAACAAACTAAAACATGTTGTTTGGAAATGTAAATGAAATATTATTTGGAATATCCTAACATCTATATAGGCCAATCACATTAACAATGTTTATGCCTTCAAAATGGAAACGGAACGTAAACATATATATTTTGAAAACTTTCCGTGGAACGCAATAATAAATTATCGTTTTATGTTCAGGCTAATTATAAACTCAATTTTGAAAGATAAATCACGACAACATCTAAAACTCCATTAATCACGGTTTACAAAGTACGATGAGGTTTCTCATCACATGTAATTGTGATAAAGTTTTTGCGAAAACAAGCCCAAATAAGACATAAATATTACCTCCAGGGGCATGAATATTTAAAATAATGAACCGGTTGCAATACGATCTAGAAACGCGAGAAACTAATTAACCCGGCCGAGATACAAAGTCGCTATTATAATCCAGTTTATGCCCCTCTCCCGTCGCCAACTGTCTTTTGTTTAGGGAATTCGCCGTCTATTTTCCAGTAATTTGTAGTGTACTATCCGTTGCTGTAAACAGCGTCAGAATAATTTGGGTAAATAGTTCTATCGAAGAGAAATCTGTCGTTGCAAGAAATGTGACGTTACTGAGGGAATTTGTTTTATGAAAATGAACGATCACTGTCAACAACCCGATACAATATTATATATTAATATTTTTTAAGAATGATTGAATATTTATGATCCCCAGGTTTTGAGAGATTTACTAATAACTGAAAGTTGTCTGAAAAATAAAGAAAGCCGTTGCAAAGTTCGTAAAGTCGTTTTGAAGGCGGTAAAGTGCCTGAAACGTCTATGCTTTGACAGTAAAGTTAAAAATGCAATCTGCAAACATCAGTCGCGTTATGAAGTAATACGTTTATCTGAAAACTCAGAAAATTGGCTTGAAAGAGTGGCTTCGGAAGTCGGAAATGTTGCCTGAAAAGTCTTGAAATATATTTGCAAAGCATGAAGGCGTGAATATTGGCAATAAAATGAAAGCCGTCTGCAAAGACGTTAAAGTTTCCTGAAACGATGAGGGATTCGCTTACAAAGTTCAGAGAATTATCTTGTAGGTGCACAAGTTGCTTTAAACCAATGAAAGCCGTTTTAAAGCTAAAATATTTATTAAAAACATGGGAAATGACCATCTGGAAAGTTAGAGGAGTTGCTTTTGAGGCGGACTGATAAGTTGTCTGATGGGCCATTAAAGCAATCTGCAAAGTTCAAAGAGTTGGAGGAAAAGTTATCTAAAGAGTTGCCTTAGAGAAACGAAGGATGCCTAAAAACTTGCAAATTTAGAAAAATTGCTTTACAAGACGAAAAGTTGCTTGAAAGTTCGAAAATATCTTTTGAAAGTTATCGGACGACCTCCTCTAGTATTTGAATAACAGTCAACATAGTACATACGTACGTGCAAGTAACAACGCCGTGTACAACAGTGCAGTAAACCATGATAAGACGACACGGTTACCTCACTGCTGTATACAATTATTTTTAGGCCAAGGATATCGTCAAGTTGTGACACCATGTGTGAACACGCGGGATATCATGTCGCACTAATATGCAATTGTCACATTAACAACTGCGCAGGCGCAGGAGTCATCACGGATTTCATATCAATAACGCAGATGTCGACGATACCAACATCAAGAATACAGTTATTGTTTGTGGAAATAAGTATTCAAATTATTGGCACTATAGATTCAAGTAAATTAATATTTTGATACCAGAATCCGAATTAGCAGCATGGTTCTCAAATTCCATTAGAGTGACTTAGCTACAATTTGAAACGGACAACATGCTATTAATAACTACCCGCAGGTTTCTCCATGATGACGTCAGTTTGAACTTTACGTCGATTTACTAAGCTATGTTAAGAATTCATTAGTGTGGCGTGATTGTGTGTATGACACGAAGCAAGGACATATGTAAGGCAGCAATGACGTAACCTATGATCATTCACGTGAATATGAAAACCGGAATGGTTTTAGCAAGTTCACTTCAGTCGTTGATGTCCGAGCATATGCCTAATTGCATTAAATTTCGTATCACGTGTCAAAAGTTTAATTTGTGTATTTTGCTGTACGACAAAAAGGTAGATTAGTCTTAGCACTAACCGTGTTTTTAACCTTTTTAAATGGAGCATAATAAATAATAATAAATATAAATGTAATATTAATGATATCATATAGTGGAATATTTATAAATGTTTATTTCACGCTGGTACGATTTCGAGCCAAAACAGAACCAGAACACCCATGAATTTCGATATTTCCCGTATCACGCACGATTGCTTAATCAGGACACTAGACAAAATAATTTTCGGTAACACATTCATTCATTTATTTGTTTGTTCATTTATTCCCTGATTTATTCATTGATTTAATGATTCATTAATTCATTTAAATGGTTTTCAAATTGATGAAATTCCATCCAAATCCTTCGTAATTTGACAAAGCTCTCGAAACACACTAGTTATACGTAATTGTCGTTTCTACTCCATACTGTTTTGAAAAAAAAAAAATCACCACGAGTTTGTAAATGTGCCGTGGATTATGATATTCTACGCATTGAAAGATATAGACTGTTCTGATTATTGACGTGTACAAATACGTGCGAAGACACTATGAGCTGTAACTAGCAATCACGACGGTAGGGCAAGCGTACCAGCATGTCTGTGACGTCACAATTGTTGTGCACCATGTGATACGATATTTTTAGTTTTCGATTTGGTCAATTTATACAAAAAATTGATGATCATAATTACTGCCGAAAAGGGCCGGGAGAAAAATTGCATTGATATTTAAAAATAATTTCAATGTTATCATGAGATTAAAATAATAAGTTCAAACAACAGCGATGATTGTATGTTAACAGACACATAATTGATTACTCAATTGTTTCTCATTGCGAATGAAATCAACACATCTGACCCACATATATGCAATATGACACGGGTGATGCGGTTGAACCTAACCGCAATCATTCTATGGTCTATAGAGGGACTGTGACCTGACATAAAAACACGGGTAGTCACGTGATTCAGAAATTTGATCCTAAATGTATACGTACATATACACATGACTGTTCTGTCCCGTGCTTTGGTTGGAACAGACATCAATAGTAAGGAACATGAATTCAATCGCATTTGTTACATGTTCATTAGTAGCACTGATCAGTGGGCAAAGTTACGGCGTTTCGATAGCGCCAGTTTATCGGCAAAACATTCATCCAGCGGTACCGATACGGAGTTACATCGTGGTGCTGAAGGTGAGGACCCTTCTTTTTTATGTTATTGTCAAATTGTCGGAAAACATGTATTTTACACGTGTACTGTAGTCCCAGAAACCTGTGTAAACTTAATCATTATCCGACGTCGTAATATTCTTCTGCTTTATTTAAAATAAGTTCTGGAATACATAACTAACGCCAGGCAACATTTTGGTTCAACGGTTTACAAATTTTTAAATATTTATTTATAATTGTGTTTATTACTTTTGAACCAAACGGACACAATTTGTTATTGGCCACGTGTTTTCATCACGTGACACCAATAACGCAGATTTACTATTTCGTGGATGACGATAACATTTGTATTCGGCGTTCACAAAGGGGGTAAATTAACGCGGTTAGTGAGTACGGTATTGGTTTGGTCCAAATACAATCTGTGTAACCATAATTAGAAAGGATTGCTCAATCATGTTGCGTTGACATTTCTATTTTTAGCGCTGTCCCCTACATTAAATATGACATTTGACCTGCATTGCCCCGTAATGTAAACACGCGCGTAATGTACTTCGGAGCAATGCGGAAATGTACATCTGAACAATCTACCAATTTACGAAACTCGAAAACCTAACATGGGTAGATTAAATATGCAACTGTTTCTAACTGAATAAATATCTCACATCTTAACTTTGACTATTACAGATAGTGTATTCACAACTTCAAGTTGAAACTTTGACGTCATAGTTTTTGTTGTTGCTGCGTCATTCTAGTTCGTGATATTATTTTTCTTACAGGAAGGTCATGAGTACGATTCTGTGGATCGAATCATCGATTATCTGAATATTAGAAAACTGAAAGCACTCAAGAAATTCATTACAATATTTCGAGGTTTCTCAGCAGTGTTAAATGAAGAAATGCTAAACATGGTAAACTACCAAGTCACTTGGCCCTCAGGGTCTTCTAATTTTTTTTTTTTTAATTTAAAAGGCATCAATTATCTCAGTGTTCTCTTGCACGTAAGTGGTAAAATCCACAGAAATAAACGCAATTTTCCTTGCATATAACAGTGATACAATATTGATTACTTGAGAAACTTGAAGCGCCACAACCGTGACATCACGCCGTGATCAATATGAGACTCATACGACGTATACAACACGTGTAATAAACCTTGGTTGCTTACACACAACTCGAAAGAGGCACCGGACGGACTCAATTGTAGCATTTAAGCGCGTTGCTTCTACCAATACATGTACTAAATGAACAAACCTTGATTTAAATACAACGTGTTGTTTAACGTAGATACGTACATTTGAAGAAGTTGAATATATTGAAGAAGACTTATTTGTTGAGAAAACGTTTGTTCGTAGTTGGGGATTGGATAGAGTTGACCAGCGGGATCTACCACTAGATGGCGTGTTTAAACCTGCAGGTAAGGCCGTGTTTTGGTATGACACTGACACACACTGACTAGCTGTTGGAATGTAATTATTAGTCATGCTTGAAATGGGTCCCATGCGACGTAGAACGTGCGCTGTACCACGATTGTGGCGCGTTATCTTGGCTTCAATTTGTGCGATTTATATAATGACTATTTGCTTCTTTGTCTCTGTCCAGGTGATGGTGCAGAGGTAGATGTGTACGTAGTTGATACCGGCATTCGATACGATCACGAGGACTTCGGTGGAAGAGCACATTTTTTCTTCGATGTATTTGGAGATTCGGTAAGCCTTTGTTCTCTATAAAAAAAGGAATCAGTTGAGTTTGATGTTAGTCTTTTTGGCATTATTGTCCATGTGTCACATCCCATTTCTCGAATACAAAAATACATACAGTGTCACGCGTAAATGAAGTTTATAATTTATTTATTTTTAGTGGTTAGTTTGTGTACCAGAAAATATAATTTAAACTGAGTCATCATACCCAGTAGAACCTCCTGCACTGAACAGTCGCACCATACGTCAAAGCAATATAATTAGACATACATGGTAAAATATAATTTACCTGTGAATAGCGCCCTCTAGTGACAAATCACACCTGTGACGTAAATATACACCATTTACAGCGTCAGTATTGCCCTTATTTGGATTCATCCGACATTAAAAAACTAGCGTGTTTGAGTTAAACGTACTCTAAATGAGATACAAAATCGCGGCTCTCGACTATATTCGAGCTATTTCTCAAAAAAAAGAGCGAGGTACGAATCATTTTAATGCATATTTCAGGCAACGGACAACGACGGCGACTGCGAAGGACATGGTACTCACGTGTCAGGCACTATTGGAGGAACGACATACGGTATAGCAAAGAAAGTCACTCTGTGGGGTGTACGAGCTTTGAACTGTGACGGCCAAGCTTCCTACTCAGAATTGCTCGCAAGTAAGTTACAAGCATATTCGAAATATTTGATTAAATCTGAGATATAGTTAAACAAAATACTGTTTTGGGATAATTTGTGTCTAAGGTCAAAGATAACTTCGACAGTTTAAAGGGCGGTAGTCGTCGCGCCACGCATGCGCGAGATATATGGGTCTAAATAAACAAAGACGGCGACGTTGACCGTTGCGCAGATCAACGAGGTATCAAAGGAGTCACCGGTGGTAATTAGTGCAAGTCGCGCCCAGCTCAAACCTCATACTTGTGATTTCCATTTGAAGAGCGCATTGGATTATGGGAAAACCAATGTTTATCAGTATAAATGTCGCACATGCGCAGCGCGACGACTACCATGCTTTAATTATGATTTTTCTGATAGTGTGCTGTTACATCCATCACTCGTTACAGGTTTAGAATATGTCGCCAAACATGGCACGACGCCATCCGTCATCAATATGTCACTGGCCGGGGACAGGTCAATCTCGATAAATCTTGCACTTGCATCGCTATCACATCGGGGATTCACAGTAGTTGTATCGGCCGGTAATGACGACACAGACGCATGTGACAAATCACCGGCAAGCTCACCTGAGGTATTTATCTTTCTATACACGCAATTATACCGAAAACCGCCACACCGAGGGTGGGCACTCGAGCGCACTCGATTCCAATCTTACCCCCTTTGATGAAGGGAACTTCCTATTTGCACATAACGTAGAGCTGAAACAAGACTATTTGTTATCGGAATACAAAGTGTTTGCAAACCTGTTTGCAATCCGCCCACTAATCGCATAGTGTGCCTTGCCAAAACATTTCCTTTTAAATAGGCGTTTTTTGGCTTTCAAGTTTGAGTACCCGACTTTCTGCCGAGTTGGTCGGATCACCACTGCTCTCTCGGCACCAGAATCACAGTCTAGGCACCCGTAAAATATTGCGTGATAGATAATAAACGACTGTTGACTGAGCATTGTTTAGTTTCAATTGTATGTTTCATAAATTACATTTCTCCATTGTATAACAACGCAGTCGGCAACTGACAACATATAGGAGCAGCGAGAAATAAGCTTTTCGCAAGCCTATAACACGTACATATTTCCTCTGCAGGCGATAACCGTGGCGTCAACTGATAAACACGACATTCGATCTGGTTATTCGAATTATGGAGAGTGCGTGGACTTATTTGCACCTGGAGAAAAAATACACAGTGATTATTCAACGTCTTCTACTTCTACGGCTGTTTTGTCCGGGACGTCTATGTCGGCACCACACGTGTCAGGTAACCCAAGACCCCGGTATATTTCATATTTTATTAAGACTAAAGTGCAGAAATGTTAAACACAATTCGGAAATATGTTTGACGAGTCAGAAATAATGGGATTCTATTTTCAATTCGATATGTTTCGAAAATAGATTACACACATTTAAGAATTTATAAAAGTTTATAAACTGTAATTAATTATCTGGGCAACACGTCACCGTACGTCACCTGGCCGGTACAAGCGGCCATGAACTTTGACCCCAGGAAAGTACATTATGTTAGACATTTCACTCATGTTGTCTATACTAATGTTTGATGCAATATATGTTTACGGGCTAGTTGGAGTCTATGAAAGAATATTTTCGTTCAAACTAGTGAATAATGATTTGCTGGTTATCTGCAGACATCTACGCCTGGCGCACGTTTGGACAAAACCATAACATGGTTAGGGGTATCATCTTTTCATAGAGGGATACCGCGTTTTGTATTCTACGTGGAAAACACAATCTCAACAATGCATTAATTAGCTTTTTATAATAAGGCTACTAAGTAAAATTTACCAATTTAACTACCGACATAACACAGTTTGGTGGAAACATATTCGTATTTATGTTTGTACCTTTTGATTCTGACGGTAAAAACATGTATGATCGCACCAATTCTCGTCCGGGTAATAAGCGAAGAATGACTCTCGTAAATAGGTTTATTTATTTATTTATTTATTTATTTATTTATTTATTTATTTATTTATTTATTTATTTATTTATTTATTTATTTATTTATTTATTTATTTATTTATTTATTTATTTATTTATTTATTTATTTATTTATTTATTTATTTATTTATTTATTTATTTATTTTAAGTTTTAGTTTAGTTTAAGTTTTTTTTCTTTTGTATTTCGTTCTATATTAATATTATATTCTACAACACAAAATCATTTCTACATTTTTGTTGATTGAGGGGTGATGGGTTAACCATTGAAATATAGTGTGGGGCATTCTTGTAGACTACTATGCACACTATATTTACTTTTTTCACGGTGATGCTGCTTCAGTGTGATAAAAGTGTGTAGAATTTGTTTGTTTTTATAAGTTTAATTTTGTTCTTTCACCTTTCCTCTAGAATTTGCTTCCAGAATTTTTTATGTACAGATTTTTT